GCGCCGGGGCCGTCCCCGGCGGGCCGTTCCCTCTCCTCAGCCGCCTGGAGGCCGCCGACAACGAGGTGGCGGAGCTGGGCGCCGACATCGCCGCCCTGCCGGCCCTCAAGGTGGGAGCGGACCCGCGGCCCCCCCCCGCCCCGCCGCCGGCCCGGGTCCCCGCCGCCACTGCCGACCGCGCTGTCTTTGTCTCTTCCAGAGCCTAGATGTGGCCAACAACCGGCTGCAGGAGCTGCCCGCCGCGCTGGCCGACTGCCCCCGGCTGAAGGAGGCCAACTTCAGGGGCAACCAGCTGAAGGACAAGCGGCTGGAGAAGATGGTCAACGGCTGCCAGACGAAGGCCATCCTGGAGTACCTGCGGGCCGGGGGCCGCGGGAAGGGGAAGGCCGAGAGTGCCAGAGAGGAGGCCAGGAAGAAGAAGAGGGAGAAGCAGCAGCAGAAGAAGGACGGCGGGGACGGGGAGCAGGACGAGCTGGAGGAGGCGAGCAAGCTCATGGTGAAGGTTCTGCACGTCTCCGAAAACCCAGCGCCCTTGGTTGTCAAAGCGAGCCCGGGCGTCAGAGACGTTCGACCCTTCATTGTGTGCTGCGTGCTGAAGGGAGCGAACTTAAAGCCGGGAAACGCTCTGAAGAGGTTCCTGTCCATGCAGGTAACTGCTGCGGTCTTGCGTTACTCGTTTGCAACGGGAACGTTGCTAGCAGATTTGGAAGTAGGCTGTTCTAGACTCCTTCCGGCAGATAAGTTTCTGAAACTTAGGGTGAGCTCTTCACCTGGCAGGTGGTGAGGGTTTGGCAGGAGGGCTGTGCAGCGTGGCCTCTGCCGGCGGCATGGTGTGCCGCCTAGTCACTCCATAATAAGCAAAACTGCTTTTCCTGCAGAACCTAGTAGGAGCTCAGCTATTACCATGAGAGGGCGACGAACACACACGCATTTGCGTTGCCTCTGTAACAATAGATTGTTAGTGCTGCGGAACCTGTCAAGAGCTAATAATAAACCTGCATCCGTGTTAGAAGCACCCTGGTTTGGCTCCAGGTTCCCTAATCTGTGCTAAAAGTGTCTTGCACGTCCAACTTTCCAACGAAGGTATCGTAACCACAGACCTTCACCTGGTATACTGCTGGCCTGCCCATTAGATGGCAGGTGTTAGCTTCTTTAGGATAATGGGACTCATGTATTTGTGGTTGTTTTCTGATTTAAAACTATCTCCTAGCTAAGAAATGTGCCATGTGCTGTGCTTCGCTATCTTTATGTTTGGATTGTACTTCAGATGAAATAGTTTCACAGGTGAAGGGCTCCGTTTAATGCAGAAGGGTTACTCAACCAGCTGATAACGCTACAAACATTAAATACATAAGAATGCTGAACCCCAGGAGGAATAAATCATGTTGATGTTTTGGATATATTTTGATGGCATTCTTTGTTTTAGACTAAACTGCACGAAGACATCTGTGAAAAGCGGACAGCAGCCACAGTTGCCACCCACGACTTGCAGCTGATCAAAGGTCCTCTGAGATATGATGTTCAGCCTCCTGATGAATTGAAGGTAAGGCCGGTGGCATTGGTAGGCCTTTCCACTTTTTTCCTTTTGTTTTCTGGAACTGTACAGAATGGAAAGAATTCTTTTCTTGCCCTGTAGATCCTAGAAAACTAACTCCAGGAGCTTTAGTTTAGAAGCTGTACTAATTTTCTTGCTGTCCTGCTGTAACGAAGCCTGCTTGAACAAGCCGCACAAAGCTACCTAGTATTACTCCAGGACCAGTTAAGAGCATATCTGCCTGAGGACTTAAAGTAATCAGGGAAAGTAGACGTAGACTTTTTTTTTTTCCTGTAAAAACATTCTGATCTTGCTTAATGTGTGCCCCTCCTTAGGGTGACTGAGGTGTTGGTGTTTCACTGTTAATCCTTTCTCCTGTGTTGTGGTGTTACCACCTTAATGTTCCCTGGAGGTCCCTATATGTTAGGATGTGCCTGGAGTGTCATGCAGCAAAGCAGGTGCTCATTTGTGTGAGTGCACCTTGAATGGCAGCAGCCTTCAATGTAACCTAATTGAAATCGATTCAGGCTCTGCTGATTTACCCAGTCTGGGGTTATTTATGTTGCTGCTTTCAAAGAAGGGAAAGGAGGGGGGGGGAAGCTTGCAGTGCATCTGTGTGATAAGCTCTTAGACAGAACTTGTAACTTCAATCCAGAATATAAAAATTCTATTTCAAATTTGTCATCCTTATTTACTGAGGCCTATTTCAGTGTGTCTGTTAACGTCCTGCCTCCAGAACCCATCTCACTGGAGGACTGAACAGTCGGGATACTTTCTTTGGGTCTGACCCAAAGCTTTTGTTGCATTCTGGTCTCTCGACACCTTGTGTTTGTAACTGTTCTGTGCATGTGGCCTGGTCCTCAGGAATGAATTCTTTGTTTTCCTGACGGCTTACAGAGCCTTTTGTGCATGGCTTCTGTTACGAGACAGCAGGTTTTCATGTTATTCAGTAAGTAATGACAGTGAAGGAACTGGCTAAGATGACTGTCCACGCCTGGTTTAGTACAAGCAAATGAGCCTGTTTTTCAAGTGGGTGTTGTAGCTCACACAAAGGCTTAAAACTTAGTGTGATCATAGTAGTCCAGGTTAAATAGCAAGCGTATTTCCATACTGAAAAAGGCATTAGGAACAATGGCATACAGAAGCATGGTTTTAATTATTGCCTTGCTTACAGGAGAGTTTTAATAACCCCAGTGTTTGAGTTGCCCTTAAATTCAAATGTTTGTTTTCGTGTATGGTGTAGATAACGCCCCTGGGTCGAAAGGAGATCAAGGCAAAGGATCTTCTCCGTCAGCTGCAGTTAGAAGCTGAGGAGCAGAGGAAACAGAAGAAGCGTCAGAATGTTTCTGGATTGCACAAGTCAGTATGCTGATCTTTTGTGCTTGTCTTCATGTGAATTTTGGTAACTCACGCTCGTATGGAAAAACAGCACTGAAGAAAATGTGCTGGAAGGTATTATGAAGCATGTTCTGTAATGGTGATGGGGCTAACAAACCCAGCACGAACTTTTAGGAGCCGAGATGAAAAACACTGAGGTGAATTTGTGCATACAGAGTAACCTGGAGTGAAACGAGGACAATGAGTGCCTTCCATTATTTCTAGCTGCGTCGAGTAAATTCTTGTCATATGAATTATTCTTAGAGGCGACAAATACGTTTAGAATAGCAAATAGAAGGGAAACACAGAGGAATGAAGTGTATGCCATGCACATTCAGTAAACTAAGCAAATTGGAGGTGCGGTAGATCTGCCTGTAGTAACAGATGTGAACTACAAAGCGGAGCGTGCCACTGCCCTATTCTGTTTACTGCTCGTGCGGAGATCATCATCCGTATCCATCACTTGTACAGCTTGGGGAAATTTGCCAAGTACATGATGGGAGAACTGTATATCACCATGGTAAGTAAGAGGGAAAATTAATTAAGCTGTCTGGAAGAATGGGACAGTGGACTCTGATGGTCCTGTTTGAGTACTGGATCTCTGAAAGCACTACAGGCATGTCTGTCTGCTTTGACAGCGAGGATATTAAAATGTGAGTTCCTTTATGGTTCTAGCCCATCACTTCCTGCAGCTGGTGGCTTTTCTCAGCTGTATCACCATGATGCAGTTTTGCTGAATTTTAGTGCTCTGACTTCTGTTTCTGCTATGTGGTAGATCAGGAACACACTAGTTTGTTTTTGTCACTACTTTCTGCCATTGTGTCCAGCTGCTGTTTCAGTTGCTCACTTTTCACTGCTTTGTTTTTCTTGGCAGGTATCTCCAGTTATTGGATGGCAAAGATAACTACCCATGTCTTGTGGATGCTGAAGGCAGTGTGATTTCTTTCCCACCGATAACCAACAGTGAGAAAACAAAGGTACTCTCTGTTAGTGGAAATACATTAATTGAAATTAAACAGTGTTTCCTTCCACTGAGAGATACTTAACTCCAGATTCAAAGACATGCACAGTTCTATGAAACTTGTGATTGTATTCGAAATACAAATCTTCAAAGCCTGAATCTTGTCTGCTAGACTTTCAGATTGAGATGGATCTCGGAGTTACATCTTTAACTTTGTAAATCTGTCAAGCTTTGGCAAGCTGTTCCAAAGGCACCAGTCTGCCTTTGCAGGGATGGCTTTATTGAAGGGCAAGAATATGGTTTTTTGACTTGTGAAGAAAGGCAGTACTTTGCCTCTGGTGGAATTGAATGAAAGCCTTTCATTCAGTTTGTGTATTGAAATGTTGCCAAGTGACTGTGGGCGAGTATGGTCTGATGCCTTACTTGCTTTACCTGTGAAATTCTTACAGATTAGAAAAGACACCCGTGATCTATTTCTGGAAGTGACAAGCGATACCAGTTTACAGATATGCAAAGATGTCATGGACACACTAATTCTGGTAAGTAGTTCGGGAAAATAATCCCATCTGTTCTTGGTGTGCTCCTTGACAAAATATTTAATTGCTCACATGTATTGAGAAGACTACAGAAGTTGATTTTTATTTTAGTAGTAGTAGTAGCATTCCCTCCCCTTCACTTACTCTTCCATTCTTGCTGTATCGCAAAAGGTGTTTATATTCTTGTATCCTGACTAACTGGCAGACCTCAAAACTCACCAGGGTAAATAATGTTGTGTTACCACAATTGGAAATTTATGGTGTGACTTTGAACCCCTTCACCTTGTTAGTGATCTTATGGCTTCCATTGCTGCCAATAAATTCTTTTAGGGAGATTTCTCACCTCAGCCTGCTGGACAATTAGCTTGCTTGGTCCTATCATTATTACAGAATTATCTTTCAGATACTGTATTAGCAGCAGGACAGTCTCATTAAATGCCATTCAACATGCTTTCTTTTAACTAAAGCTTTCTTACTGGAAAAGATAGAACTTGGTATATGGCAAGTACAGGATAGTATGCTGTTAGATATTTTGCAAGATAAACGTTTTTTTTTTTCTTGTCCAGTTAACATAACCTTTAGAACACTTTGGTGAAAGCTAAGTGATTTGTGTAGTTGACACAAAGTAGTAGCAGAGACAATTTCAAATGCAGCAAAAGCAAGCTTGTTGGTGGTGATCCTACAGGAGGCTCCGGTTGCTTAGAATCCAGTGCTTTGACAAAGCCTGAGTTCTGTGTTAAATGTAAAAAATGAAACTATTCAGAGAAGAGGGCCCTCCTGGAGAGCACAGCAGTGATAACATCAAAAGCCCTTTCAGTTTCCTGAAAGATTCTAACCCACTGAAGAACCTTTTCATGCAGATACTCCTCCAGAGGCGGGCCAGATCCACACCTTGGAAGCAACTTGGAGTTGCTGTGAGGCCTTAGCCACAGAATTAATCTTGTTTTCTGTATTTTGCTTTTAACAGAAAATTGCAGAACTGAACAGATCTACCTTGGAAAATAAGGAAGACTCAGGCTCGGATAATGAATCTGATGCTTTTTGCGGACCAGTGAATTTGAACCCTGGCCAAAACGTACAGCCGGTGAATTTTCCATTGGTGGTGGAGCAGGTTCGAGTGGTGGACACAGATGGAAACTTGAAAGTACTTTACCCTTCAAAAACTGACCTAACCACAGTTTCCTCTCTTCTGACTGTAATACGTTAGCAGCTATCAAAGCTAAGGAAATGATTCAATTTTCTTTTTTGTTTCCCCCCTCCCCGTATTCGACAGTGCAACTTGTAGGCAGTGAGGTGGTTTGTTTTTTTTAAAGAAAAGATGCAGTGCATCCTGCCTGGGTATGTGAAAACTTTAAAGTTTGATCAAGCTACAGCAAGGAGTATTGCCTTCTTTCAGCCTTAACAGAAAGTCACCAGTATTCTGACTAGGTAGAGATAACAGCATCTTCACATGCGATCTTAAAGGCAGAGAAGGTACTGGAGGTCAGGCTGCATTAACTTGTAGAGAAAATCATTATGACATCATAGTGTTTATAAAGTGAGTGCAGTCGTATTTTTCTGCAAAATCACCATTTCTTCCTGGTGTGTTTCGGCTGGATTATAATTTTGGCAGCTAAACTGGGAAATCCAGTAGGTGACAGCATTGAAACGCAGTCACGTGCTATATACCGATACTGAAGACAGAATGCAAAACTACTTTGCTAACATTCTGCCTAATTTTATTTTTGTATCTGGAGTAATTGTGAAAATTTAATTGCTGTCAGAGCTTGAGGAATCAGTTTTAAAGTGATGGTTTCTGTGTTCAGACATTAACATGGCTTTTGTTTTTAACTGAAGTCAGTCCAATTGACTGCAGGGGTTTGTGTGTCCCAGTGCATTTTAAAGCTATCATCCACCCTTGGAAATACCAGTTGTAGCGACCTTGTTGTGTACCTGCTGAGTTACCGTTGATCGAGCACTGAATTTATTCATGCTCGTGAAGTTCCGTTCAGAGGGCTAATGCTGCCTTACATCAACACTATGGAAGCTCCCCATCTCCCCAGAATACAAGCGTTCTTGCCCAAAGTGACCCTCCTGGAGCTTTCTGTCACACTCCCACATGAAGAGTGTTGGGGATACCTTCCAAAATACAGGTAGTTTGAGTGGTTCTGATTTTTGCAGTCTGTGGGTGACTTTCACATCCAGGCTACTACCTGTATGAATGCAACCATCTCCATAAGTTAGTGTGACTGACAGATTGAACTTTTTCTGTTAAAAATGATACAGAGCTCTAACTGAACTTCTAGATACTGTGTCAAATACATCCACGTGTTGGGACTTGCATATTGAATGGAAAAATAAAACAGTTCTTGCAGTCATATGTCACTGTCACTTGTTTTGGCATTGGTGAATTTTCCAGTCGTGTAACTATACAAGCTTGCCAAAGCAGCTATTGTATACTGCAAAAAATGGTAACTAACCACTTTCTAGCTACTTGTGGTCGTGCAGTCCTTAGTGTAGTGCTTCAGGCTTCCCTGTGAAGTCTAATGTTTCTACAGACCACTGATTTACAGTGAATTGTGCTCCGAGTCGGTTGAAAAAATTGAATTAGATACTGCTGCAGAACTTGATTTAGTAAAATGAGTTTAATTTCTTAGTAAGTCACCATCTCAAAACCAAGGAACGGGAGCCTGAAGTTGGTGACGTATTCTGACTTGGCTGTTAGGGCTGCTTTTCAGGTGTTAAAAGATGCTACCCTGCAGGACTCTTTCTCCTTCCCTTAGCACTGGTAGGCGATGGAAGTAGATGTGTTGATGCTGTAGAGCGACAGGACTTTGATGCCTTCCTGTTTCAGCATCTGATGGAACTCCATCCATTTGTTAATTATTTTATAAAAATGAGGGATGTGTAAAGAGGTGGGAAAGCATTAGGTGGAGAGCAGTACTGCAAAGTGTACCCTTATCTCATCAGTCCGTTCTAGCTGGCTGCTAGAAGCAGAGTTCAAAAGAGGCACGTACCTGTATTGCCTCCAGTACTCTCGCCTGTGACCTCTGCCTCAGGAGGCTTGCTGTCCATCATACTGAACATAGCCTGAATTACTTCGCTTCGATATCTTTCATTCAAACTTTTGATAAGAGAGGAAAGTAGGTGTGTTTAGTCTTTATATACAATTCTTTGGCATTTGCATGGATTTACAGAGACTACACTATCTGAGTGGGGCAAAGTACTAGTGAATGATGAAACAGAAGGTCTGTTTATGGGAAATTACGGGCTGTTTGACTGGGCTTCACTGCAAGGACTGTGATAATGATGTGTTTCGGTGTGGGCCGAGTCCCTTACCCGGGTATCGGGCCCTGTGCTTGCTACCAGGCACGTATGCCTGCAGGAAATGGCTTTAAGGTGATAACCTGTTACTTTGAGTCCAGAAGGATATTAGAAATCTGGTGATGTAACTGTTCTGAACTTGAGTTTCTCAAGGGCTTCTGGTATTTGCGGCCTGTTTGCTTTGTAAGTGACATGAGCCACATGCTAAAAAGCCAGAATGCATTTCCTGCTCCTCTGGCCCCGTGGCCACAAAGGGAGGCCAGGCCTTGAGAGCAAAGGACTGTAATGCCCTGGTGCATTTCCCACTGTGCTTCTGCCCAAGAATGTCTAAGCTTTCAGATTCTCTGCTTGAAATGCTTGAAGTGTCTCCCAAGAAGGAGGCAGGAGTCTGAAGTGAAGGAGGCTACACTTACCCAGCTGGTGATGCATTTGAGTGCCATTCTAGTTTGCAGCTTGCTGTGCTGCAGCGTCTCAGCTTGGCTCTGGATCGCCTCTTGGGCCTGTTGCTGCTTGTGGATGTGGTATGGGCTGGTCAGAACCTCTGCCTGTAGCTGGCTGACCGTCCCCTGTAACTCACTGATCAGCTCGTTCTGCTCAGCTGGTTTGGATTCTTGTTCTGTAACAACCTGAGGAGATAGGTAAATCAAGCCATTATTGTGAGGAAGGAGGCGAGCAGGCTTGGCTGCATCTTCCCAGTACCTGGTCCAAATGCTTCTTGTATTTCCTGGGCAGAGTCTACAGACTAACAACCTTGCCGGTACTAGTAACTGTTATTACTTGGTGTTTTCTCTGAAACTACTGAATTGGGTAGGGTTTTCTTATGTGGCAAACTCCCCCAAGCCTAAAGCAAGCACCACTCTGCAGCTAATACAAGCATTTTCTATAGGGGCTTTGCACCAAGTTTACCTCTCAAAGACTGCAGTTCTCCTTCTCTATTGTCACCACCATTTCTTCGTGTTTCCATCCTTCTCTCAGACTGCAAAACTTAAGAGAACATAGTTTATGCTTCAGTTCTGCAGCGCACAGGTGCACCTCCTGTCTATGCGGAAGGCCCAAATTCCCTGCCGCCAGCTCTCCTAACAGCGAAGGCCACCCTGCTTGCAGGGTGGTACCTTGGTAGACATGGCTTGTAGCTGATTTTCTGGCTGAGTTTCTTTTGGAGCACTTCCTTCTCAGATTTGGTTCTCCGAAGCTGGGATTCTTTGATCTCCAGTTGCCTTTGCAAGGAAGAGAGGGCGCCTGTGAAGTAGGAGTACTACTGTAAGCAAACGGAATCCCTGCAAAAAGCTTCGTGCCTCCTCTTTTCAGGTAAGCGTAAGCAGAGTTGCTGTAGTAACCGTCTGAGTGTAGATCGTGGGTGGAGTTAATGCTCCAGCCACAGCGGCGCTGGCTGATAATGCGTTTTGTAGTTAATTTGCTGTGATGCTTATTAAACTAACTAACCTCACTGTGTGAGGACTGGTAGAGCCAGCAGCACAAGGACAGGTTTGCCAGCGTGCTGAAACACTGCGGGATGCCGCGGGGAGACTGCTTGGGGCTCTGCCTGCTGTGTTTTTTCTTATGCGCTCCGCTTCTAAGGGGAGCGAGAAAGCAGTTTCTGTGCGCTCCGGAGCATTTTTGTCTAGGTAAAAGGAGCGGGGCGGCAAAAAGGGATAACGGCCCCTTTTCTGGATGCTTTCCCCCGGTACTGGTGACCGGGCTGTAGCGCAGTTCCTGGCGCGGCTCTTGGTCGGACCTTTCGGGGTCTCGCTGAGCTCCGCCACCCGCGCCAGCTTCCACGGGGGACGCTTCTCCCGAGCCCCCTCCCTCCATCTCCGCGCTGGGCAGAGGGGCTAGGGCTCTCCCGTAGAGGAGATGGGAGGGATCGCGGCTGCGGGGGGGAGCTGACGAAAGTTCTCCCCGCTGCCCGGGAAGGCCGTTCGTCCCCTCTCCCGGCGTCGGGCACGGAGCGGGGCCTGTACCCCGCCATAGCGGCCCGCTACCCCCGCCGTAGCGGCCCGCTGCTAGGCAACGGCGGGGGGCGGGGCGGGGGGCACGCCTTCCGGTTCCGGTCCAGGTCCGCCGCCGCCATGGGTCGGAAGAAGAAGACGCTGCACGACTACGCGGCCGAGTTCTCGGAGCTGTCGGTGAAGCGGCACCTCCTGGAACGGGGCGGCGGGGAGGAGGAGGAGAAGGCGGCGGCGGTGGTGGAGACGCTGTACTGCACCTCCTGCCAGCTGCCCATGCGGGTCCGCCGCGACCGCATCCTCGAGCACCTCTCCTCCGGCCGCCACTACCGCAACCGCCGCCTGCTCCGCCAGCACGGCCTGCGCGCCCCGCTGCTCCTGTGAGTGCCCGGCCCCCGCTGTCGGGACCGGCTGTGGGAAGCGGCCGGCCTCCGTCCCTCGCTCGGCGAGGGAGAGCCGGAGCCCCGGGCCCAAACCCTCCTCTGTCTCGCCCAGCTCTGCAGGTCCAGACGTCGGCGCCGGCCTCCCCCTGCAGCTCGACGCGCCCTCCCTGCTCTCCCAGCCGTCCTTCGTCCTCGCCACCGCCGCAGGCTCGGTCCCCTCTTCGCCCTCCTACCCTGAACCGCTGGCTGCCCGCCGACCCGTCGCTGCCGCCCCCAGGGAAGACCCGACGCCTTCCACCTCGGCCAGCCGCCCCCCGGGTCTCGCTGACGCCTTCCACCTGAAGATCGCCCCTGCCCCCTCGAAGCAGGCCAGCCAGCGAGGGGCCGCGGCCGAGGCCTCCGACGGCCCGGCGCCCGTCTTGCGGCCCAGCAGCGGCGTCGGTCTCGCCCTCTTCGGCGTAGGGCTGGTTAACAAAGCTTTCTTCCAAAGCCTGATGGAGGAAAACGGCTGCTGCTTGCTTTACGTCGTGGAGGATCAGCTGGAGGAGGTGGAACGCGCCTTCGGCGCCGAGTTCCTGGCTGGTACCAGGGTGCTGCGGCAGCGGGATGCCAATGTCGCGCTCAACGACCAGCGGTACCGTCCGCCACGGACTCCCGCACGCGCTTCTTCCCTGCCGCCGGGCTCGGGGCGCGTGTCTGGCGTCTCCTCTCTGGGAAATGCCACTGCGCCGTAGCGGACCCAGACCGTGCTTGTCTGGCCCCACACAGGGGAGCAGAGGGAGACCCAGGGGCTGTTACAGGCTAAGCCTTACGTAGCGTGTCATCTACCTGTAGGTGCTTCAGAAGTCTCCAAGAAGCTTAGCTTGACTGACGTGCCCAGAACCGAGGGAAACTCGGAGTTTAGTTGCAGGTGGTTTTCTTAAGAAATACAGAAAACCCCCTTGTTTTCCTCCTTTCCCATAGAGCAATAAACGACAGGCTTTCCTGCTGCCTGCCAGTTTTTCTGCCGCGGAGCAGCTGGCTGACTTTGGTGGCTCTTTTGAAACTGTCTGAGATAAGCGAGGATTGCTGTAAGTAGGAAAGGTTGTGGTGTCTTGCTTTACAAGTAGCATCTAGCGATGTGGTTACAGTCAGTTCTCAAATTGGTATTTTAAATCTCATTGCAAAAGTGAAAGGTGGAGCTTTTAAAGAAGGTGGATTTAATGCGAGAAGCTAAGGCATGGTAATAAGCTAAGATGTACCCATCGCTTGTTTGGCAGCTCTACCCCATAAAGACTTTTGATTTCACTGCATGTGTTAACTAACAGCATTTAACCCGTTTTCAAAGGACACCTTTAAAAGACTTTATCCTTTAAGATGCAGGAAAAGCAATGCAATTCCACTGTGCCACTTGTAATTTTAACCTACATATGTCCAGCCGTATTTCATCCTCGCAAGCAGGTGCCAAGTTCCTTTTATAATGTAACTTGCTCTTCCAGAGCAATGGGGTTTGATGTCTTTTTTTAACTCTTCCTCAAAAAGTTTAAGGCAGCTATCAGAGAAATAACTGTAACTGAAAGGAGCTTTTGAGCGTTGTTCATTCTAGTAAAAACCTTGTCTTCACTGAAGGTCTTTCTTTTGACTTCTGCAGAGTCTCTGGAGCCATTATTTGTTCACCCCCTGAAGAAGCCTCTGAGATTGTAATAGGCGCTTTACGAGCGGGTAAGAGGAACAGCTGCAAATTCAGCTTTTATCTGTAGTCAGTAGCACACGTTGAGGCAGACCTTGTATGCTTGCTGAACGCTTTAAATGCAAATGCTTTCTTGTTTCAGCAGTGTCCCTTGAGTTGTGCAGACTATCTAATTGCATAATGAAAGAAAAATTAGTCTGCTGGTGACACCGATGTTAATGGCTTAACACCAGCAGAGTTTGTACTGTGCTGGTCCCAGTATGGCCATGCAGAGTGTCTAGTCCTAGAAATACCACTAGGACTCAAAGGAGAGCTGTCTATCAAAACAGTCACGCTTCTTGGGGTCTGTAACCAGCTAGTAAAGCCACAGCTGGAGGCCAAAAGGGAGTTGGTAGCATCAACAAATAAAAAGCCATGCTTCAGTTTCATCAAATGTACCTTCTAGAATGTAATGACATGTATATTTATTGCAAGATAAAAATATTTCGTGAAGACCGTGTCTTGACTTCAATCCTGTGTCCTGTACCGTTTTGCACAGGAAAAGGTGTGTTTTGCGAGAGGCTGCCCAGTTTTGACAGGCAGACGGCAGAAGCTTGTTTCGATGAAGCTGACAGATGTGGAAGACCACTGGTGTGTGGATTCTACAAGTAAGACCAGCATTTTTCTTCTGATTTATCCTTGAAAAGAAGTGCGTAAAAGTACTGAAAGTAGCACTGATTCCTCAGGCTTTCCTGAATTTGTCCTCAAATAAACTTAGTTTCACTGCTGCTTGTTAACATTGTTCAGTTGGGAGTTAATTGGATTGGATTAATTCTTCGTGTTTAATGGAGATAAAATCTAGCTGTCATGAGATGAAAATAAATGTTTGCTCGAATGGATGCTAGTGGAACTCAAACGGTGAAGCTTTCAAAATGGAAAAGCTCTGGGGTTTAGGGTTTTGGTTTTTTTTTTTTTTAGAATGGCCCAAGGCAGTTGGGGTCCGCATCTCTGCAGTCCTTTCGAGGTTTTGCAAATTCTGCAGCTAGTTGGAGCTTCAGAGAAGGAAATATTCTGACAGTGCTGTGCCGTTCTCTGAGGCAGTTTCTTGGTCTGTGGTTTTAGGTCATTTTTTGCTCATGTTTTTTTGCTCACATACAACCACCAAGTTGGGCAGATCTGTAATTTTATTAAGTGTGCAGCTACCAAGATTCGCTTTTCATTGCTCTGTTGTAAAGCGTTTAGTTTGCAACCCTGTTCAGTCTAGTAATGTCCTGTGATGTGCTCATGGTTTGGGCTTCCGTACGGAACTTCTGTCCATATGTATTGCACTTTTTCTGGATCTGATGGTATCTATCCTTTTTTCCCTGTTTGACAGCTTTGTTGCAGTAAACTAGAAATAACATTGGAAGAAGGCAGAGAATTAGCTGTGTTCTTTAAAATAGCAGTGGAAAAGGCTGCTCTTTGACTATATTTTCATGGTACTGAAAACTCTTCCTTTTTTGTAACTTTTTTATATTTTCACTGATTTCCTAATTATATTCTGTACTTAGTAGATGATGTTGGTTCTGTGAAACGTAAGTACATGCATTAGCAAATACTAGTGAAAGCATGGAATAACTCTTCAACAAAAGAATAATCGACCTTTTGAAGTTGCTTTTAGAGCACTATCTCTAGGGACACATTGAGCCCATCCACTACTTAACTTTCCACTCAAACTGAATTTCCAAATGCCGGGGTCTGCCTAGAGCTGTCATTTACCTCTGACTTCTTTCTTATGCCTTTGGAAGGGATGGTGCTTGAGGATTATTAACCTTGAGGGTTGCAAACTACGCGGCCGTGAACATACTGCTTGGTGTTAGAATTACTGGCAAATCTGATGAGGATAGATTTATTAACCTTTATGAAGTGATATTTCCACTTGGGACCTTGCATCTGGACCCTTACGATTAAATAATTGAAATGGAAGGAAAGTAGATTAATTTTCATTTGCTTCCTCTCTGTTCAACTTGCGGGGACTTGGGGAGCTCAGCTAAAAGCAAGAATGCCGCTTTAAACTTGTGCTTGGCAT